CCCTGCTGGCTGCAGGATGGTTGTAGGCAGCTCAGGTACCTGGGGTGGGTCCTGCTTTGTGGTTAGGGGGCTCAGTGCAGAAGCTCTCCTGACTCAGCAGTCGCCGCAGCGGCCACCAGCAGCAGGGAGGGGCCCCTCTGCTCTCTGCTGAATTCAGGTGAACTGAAACATGTCCAGCAACTGCAAGGATGCAAGAGCACATCACAATACTGTCTGATTAGTGTCTGTAGTCACCCACCAAGGCCTTGCCTCATGCAAGACATTGTGTAACCCTGGGCACAGTATCTTAAAATTATTCCATAATCATGACTATGCTTGCACTCATATATTGTGACCTAGCCAGCAGCAAAGTCAGCTTGCAACAGCCAAACCCCTTGGAAAACCTGAAGCTAATTCTTTGCTAACATATATTCTGCCTGAGTGTGTGAAAAATAGATGATCTCTTCTCATTGTGAACTTGACAGAGTATTAGTTTTTAAAATTAGAAGCCACTAAAAAATCAGTTACAAAAATCAGTTGGTGCCTGAATGAGTCATTGTCAATTAGTCTAATTTAATTTCAATCCTGTTGGTTTTGATTTCAAAGTCACACCCAAATGGTTGACCTCCTTTGTGATAACTGTAGGATTCATGGCTTTTTTGGGATGAGGTGGTGGTCAGTGGAAGACAGGCTAGAAACACCAGCGGGTCCAGGATAACTGACTCATATCCAGTGGATGCTGTGGGCTCAGGAAGGGCTGTCTGGGCAGAACTGTCCCTGCCTCTGCTGTCTGCAGGGTTTCTGTCAGCCTGGTGGCCTCAGTTGTTTACTGATGGGCACTGGAGCTGGGATGCCCTGGAGGAATGTCTGCACCACCCGCTGTAGCGGGGCGTGGGAAGGCTGCGGATACACCCTGGGTGGACACTCTGTCCCCCTGGGCAGGAGGTTGGGGGGACCCCCAGCTTCTGGTGCTGGGGTCTTGCAGAGATGCTGGGGAGCTGTTTCTGTCAGGCCTAGGGAGCAATCAGCCCCAGACCAAACACCCTGCAAAACTCTCGGGGGAGGGATCCTGACCATGTCAAGATGAACTTCTTGCAGTGTTTCCCTGCTGTGCTCCCAGGAATCATCATCCCTCCTTGCCTCTTGGCTTCCAGTGTCCAGCGTGAAGCTGTGACTGGATGGCATCCCACCCACTGCAGGGCAGAGGGGGGCACACACTCCCTGGGTCAGGGACATGAACATTTGGAAGCAGGTTGATCCTCTTTCCTCAGGACACTACTGTCAAGTCGTAATTATTTTGCATTTACCAGTTTCCATGGCAACACGCTGGCACACAGCCTGCAGTTCCAGACCAGAGACATGTGCCTGCTACAAGTGCTTCCTGCTGGTAAAATAAGCCCAAGAATAAACATTTTAAAGAAAGATGAGCACCTGCCTCCTCCAGTGTCTGAGGTTCCCTCAGAAGCAGAGGTGTGAGCTCAAAGCATCCCCAGATGATTTGTCCCCAGATTTGCTTCCTGTCCCTGCTTCAGCTCCCTGCTGCCAAGAAAACATTCCAGTAGGTGGAGAGGTGCCCATATGGCACCTGGAGCCTGGATATGGAGACCAGACTCAAGCAGCTGTTGAGCTGCAATGGCTCTGAGACCGTAACCTCTTGCTGACCGTAACCCTTGCTGAGCAGTCAGCAGTGTGGGAACACTTCTGCAGGTGTTCCACCAGCTTTGCTAGGTCTCAGTACTTAAAAAGATCTCAAGAGCAGAGGGCTCACTGCCATTGGACCTGTCTCCTTCTGGTCCTGATGGCATGCAATAAACATCAACTCATGCTCTGTGCATGCAGAGTTAGGCTTGAGGGACCCCTCCTGACTTTGCATATCTCCATTAAGTAGTTAGTGGGGCTGAGTTTAGTAGAGGAACCCAAAACAGGACATGGGACATGGATGTGCATTACTGCTTCCAGCATGTTAGGAGTAGGCTTCAGGGAAGGATAAACATCCTCAACTGTAAAGCACAGAAGGGAAGGCTGACTCTATTATGATTAATTCAAGAATAACAGGGTTTATACATCTGGCTCTACTTAGAGATAACACTGGTCTCCTGCAAGTCCTCTGCTCTTCCTTTCAGTTCAGAGGACAGTGGAGTTTCCAGAGGGCTAGAAATAGAGAAAGTACACAAGGCAAAAAGCTTCACAGACTGTGCAGCACCTGGCCACGTTCATGGCATCTTTCTTGAAAAGACCTCATAGAGTTTTCTGCTGGTGCCAGGCAAAATGAGCCCTGCCAGGATATCATAGAATTATTTTGGTTGGAAAAGGCCTTTAAGACCACCAAGTCCCACCATTAATCCAGCACTGCCAAGCCCACCACGAAACCACATCCCTCAGCACCACATCTACACAGCTTTTTAATCCCCCCAGGGATGGTGACTCCACTACTGCCCTGGGCAGCCTGAGCCAGGGCCTGAAAACCTTTTTGGTTTGTTTTTTTTCCCTTTGGGGACAACTTCCCCTGGGCAACTTGAGACCATTTCCTCTGGTTCTCTCATTTGTTGTCAACCCCCTGTGGCTCCAACCTCCTCAGGCAGCTGCAGAGCCAGCAGGTCTCCCCTCAGCTTCCTGGTCTCCAGGCTGGACACCCCCAGCTCCCTCAGCTGCTCCTGCTCAGACTTGTTCTCCAGACCCTTTCCCAGCTCTGTTGCCCTTCTCTGGACACACTCCAGCCCCTCAATGTCCTTCTTGTCATGAGGGACCCAAAACTGACCCCAGGATTGAAGGTGCAACCTCCCCAATCCCTGGTCCTGCTGGCCACACTAGTGCTGATACAAGCCAGGATGCTGGTGGTCTTCTTGGCCACCTGGGCACATGCTGCTTCATATTCAGCTGCTGTTGACCAACACCTCCAGGTCCTTTTCTGCTAGGCACTTTCCAACCACTGTGCTCTAAGCCTGAACCATTGCATGGGGTTGTTGTGACCCAAGTGCAGGACCCAGCCTTTGACCTTGACATTGGGCCTCAGCCCATTCATCCAGCCTGCCCAGGCTCCTCTGCAGAACCTTCCTATCCTCAGGAAGATCAACACTCCTGCCCACCAGTTTTTTACCCAGCAAAGCATATACCCATGCAGGCCATAAGCAGACCAGGAGAATGCCATGGGAAACAGTACCAAAGGCTTTACTGAATTCTAAGTTAGACAACATCCACAGCCTCTCCCTCACCCACCAAGAGGGTCACTTTGTCATAGAAGGAGATCAGGTTGGTCAAGCAGGTCCTGGCTTTTACAACCCCATGCTGACTGGGCTGGATGGACTTGTCCTGCAAGCACTATGTGATAGCAGATGAGTATCTGTTCCATAACCTTCCTCAGCACTGTCAGGCTGACAGGCCTGGAGCTCCCCAGCTCTTCATTCTGTCCCATCTTGTAGATGGGCTCACATGTGCCAACCTCCAGTGAACTGAGACCTCCTCAGTAAGCCCATCCTGCTGACAGACAATGCAAAGTGGCTTGGTGAGCACTTCTGCAGCTCCCTCAGTACCCATGGGGAGATTCCATCCAGCTCAATGGACTTGTATGTGTCTAAGGGGTACAGCAGGTCACTAACCATTTCTCCTTGGATTATGGGGGCTCCATTCAGCTCCCCATCCCTATCTGCCAGCCTGGGGGGCTGGTTCTAGTTGGGCTTTGGCCTTCCTAATTTTCTCCCTGCCTAGCTTCATGACATCTTTGTAGTTCCCCTGAGTGGCATGCTTTTTGTTCCAAAGGCCACACACTCTCCTTTTTTTACCTGACTTCCAACCAAAGCTCAAAGCCCTGAAGATTTCCTTCTCAAAGAGCATCCAGCTTTCCTGGACTCCTTTGCCCTTCAGGACTGCATCCCAAGGAGCTCTGTTAACAAATCTCTGAAAGAAGCCCAAGTCTTGCCACCAGAGGTCCTAGCTGGCAGTTCTGCAGAGACCCTCCTTGCTTCACTGAGATTAGAGAACTCTATCTTTTCAGGGTCACCATGCCCAAGATAGCCACCAACCATCACAGTACCTTCAAGTCCTTCCCTGTTGACAAACAGCAGGTCCAGCAGGGCACCTTCCCTGGTTGGCTCTCTCACCTTCCACTCATCCCAGGAACCTCCCAGACTTTTTCTTCTCCTCTGTATTGCATCTCTAGCAGGCATCTGGGAAGTTGAAACCCCCATGAAAACAAGGGTTAGCAATGGTGAGACTTCTCTCAGCAGCTTACAGAATATGTCATCTGCCTCTTCATCCTGGCTGGGTGGTCTATCACAGACTCACCATGGTATCTGTCTTGTTGGCCTTCCCACTGCTTCTTATGCATCAACACTCAACCTGATTGTCACCACTGTTAAGTGCTAGGCAATCAAAACACTCCCTAACATCCAGGGCCACCCCACCACCTCTCCCACTTGCCTGTCCCTTCTGAGGAGTTTGTAGTCAT